TACTTTATCAATATAAGTATCATATACGATAACATATAAATTTTCTTTTAACTATTTTCTGTAACACTAGTTAGATTTTCATATTTAAATATTCAAATAACAAATTTGAGTAAAGATGCATAAATTAGAAAATTTAATTAAAGTTGAAAAAAAAATACTAGACTAAATCCAACAAGAAGGACCTTTATCACAGTAAAAAATAAAATAAAATCTGAAAAAAAGCTAAAGGCAAATGGGCTTGTTTATTTGTTTATGATCAACTTGTGAAAACGACCGTGGCCAATAATGTGGTGTACTTGTGAAAGTGCTCCTAGATTAACATTAATCATAGTTTTATTAGCGTGGTCCACACGGTTCTTTTAATATGCTTAATAACTTGAGAATCTTGTTGGCAATTGGATTAGACTCTAATTATCCTTTCATTATTCATGCTAAGCTACAAAATGCATGTCGTCATGAACATGATTTGAACTTTGGATTGGATTTTATCTAGTTCCTATACTTCGTAACTATCAAAGTGTTCTTTATCATAGGTCATTATTAGTTAATTAATTATAGACTCGTTCGGAAATGCTTTTAATATGGATGAAAACGTTTTTCTGGTGCAGGTACTTCTAGAATCAATCGTTGGTAAATATACAAGTGAACCCTGAAAAAGCACTTCAAGTGTTTTTGGAACCTAAAAACATTTTCTCTAAAAATAGTTTCAATCATCTTAAAAACAGTTCCAAAATGAGTTTTATTTGTGTGCGTAGAATAAATACATAGGTACTAAGTTGCAACCAAGAGATCACGGGCCTTGCTAATATGGGGAATGTATTCAAATCCAAGGATCATGAAATTTGTAGGTACAACGTGACCAAACGCAAGTACGATCATAGTGATACTCTAAATTAGCTAATTCCTATGTTGTCATATTTGCTTGTCTATTAAGTATGTTGAAAAATTAGACTGGATTTGTCCCGAAAGATGCAAATTATCTTAAATTATTGGTTGGGTGCGCTAAAGAACTTGAGTTAATTTATTTTGTGTTGGAGTTTGATGACTGGGATTAGAGCCACATTTGTACCTCACATTGGTTAGAGGGAGAGCCATATAGTGCTTAATAAGCAATGGTGCCACATATATTGTCAAATTTTTTTGATAAAAACTCATACATGTTTCTCTCGGATGGTTAAAAAGGGGAGAACGACAGCAATACCAACTTGTGTGTGTGGATCCCGTTTGTGTGCTCGGCACTATATTTTGTAGTAAGTCTATTGATAATTTGATATTAAGGAGTCACCTTCGTGTGCTAAATTATAGTTGGCATGCCAATTGAAGCACTTGTTGTAGTGTCAAAGCCTTAGCTTCTAAACTATCAAAATGCTTATTGATTGTAACATACTTTTCTATACTCCGAAACACTATAAAAAAAAATTGTGATTGTTTTTTTGTTGAACTAAATTAGATATATAGACGCGCTTATTATCGTCCAAAACATGTTTGATTGAAATCCCTTGTTCACTTTTTACATAAGATAAATTATAACCCAATAGATTTTGAAAGTGAAGTGATCTGTTACACATGTGGAGAAATTTTTTAGTGTGCCTAAAACACAGAGTGATACACTATATCCACATGTCGTTTATATAAATAGAGAAATTTTTTATTTTTTAAATGTTTATTTACTTGTATAATGACATATAATGTAACATTTCGTGTTTCGAACAAACCGAACAATCTCTCACACTAGATAGCAACAAACAAAATATTGGTCTTGAATGGCGTGTCCACATGATATACCTCTTTAAGGCGAGATTTTTCAGTGTAATCGGAACACAAGGTGGTATACCACGTATCACTATACAAATGATGAGATATGTGTGTTAAAAAGTTAATAACTTTTAAAATAAAAATTTCCACCATTTATATAAAAACACGTAGTATACCACTCGTGTTCCGGTCACAATAAAAATTTCTCCTCTTTAAGACCCCCTTTTATTTTTTTTATTTTCTAATTTCCATGAGGAGGTTAAGAATAATTATTTATTTATATAATAATGTCGAAGCATGATATTACTATTAGAGAGTGGGTCCACTTTGATTGAATGAAAGAACTGCAGCAGGAAGAGCATAAGCAGCAAATCAGCAGGCTGGGGACCTGGTTAGGTTTGGAACCAAACTTGCAGATCTCCCGAGCCTCCGAGGACACGCGTCTTCACCTGATTAGCCAAGCTTTTAGATATACCATAGTTTATTTATTTATTTTCTGATGGGACAATCGAAACAAAATTAAGAATTGGGACATGAGTTTGGTTCGAATCCAATTCTGAAAGGGACGAAAAAAACATACTTTAAGAAAGTGGTTCAGGTTGTTCGTCTGGTTAGGGCAAAAAACTAAAAAATTCAAATTACGATCGTAGTATTTTTATATATATTTTTTTATTAAGCATAAGATCCAAACTCTGGCAGTGTATGTGTAGTAGATCAAGTCATACATTTTTCTTTTAGAAAAATGAAAAGTTGGATGTCATAATTTTCCTTAATTCAAATTTATACGAAAAAAAATATAAGAAAGATATTTTTACGAAGAGAATTCAAATTCTGAGCGGATGAGAAGAACGTGGATAATCAAAATAATGTGGGCATACTTGATCAACTTTTTAGATCCAATATGGTTCATTAGTAACATGATCGATATTGACCTAACTTAACTACCTATTATTAAAATTTTACCACAAAAGATATTGTTGATGTTAACAGTAAAATCTCTCAAATATTAATTGTATTTTATTTTGTACGCCTGATATAGAATTCTATTTTCTAACACGTCTCTAAACTCTTGTTCTTCTTCTTAACTGCACCAAAGATGATGAAAGTTTTGTGAATATTATATATATATAATCAGGATGATAGAACACCCTGTTTTTTTTATACAACCCTTTAACACACTTTTTTGTAAAACTTCCACTACTTTGAATTCAAAGATGAGCGTGAAAGTGAAAAGCTAACTTTGTTGACTTTCATGGTCTTCTTAAAGTAAAGGCTAGATGTGTATTTTTCTATTTTGGTTTCAGAATCAAACGCATCAAAGTTTTTAATGATACGGCAGGACATGTCATTGGAGGAATAAGAGATTTTTCTAATCTTTTAATTATATCCGTTCAACCGAACATTGAAAGGTAAAGAATTAATGATTTGTTTTTTTTTTTTTTTTTTACTTTTTTCTTGTTCATCTTCATCCCTCTTCTCACTCTCTCTCCCTCGGACTCTCTTCTCTCTTTATCTGGGATTACTTGGTTCTAGTTTTGGGCAACCAGAGGCCATAAGACGATGGTGTGGGCATGGTGGATCGGTAATCGGAGCCAACATCCATCGAAGAACACAGAGAATTAAAGGATCGGAAAAATCTGGATAGGAAGGATCTGAAGAAAATCCTGACCCGTCATTAGTATTACATTACACTATGTGCAATACGTATAAAACTAGAGGTAAAATGTTACAATTGAAAATTGAAACGAATTTGTGTTTTAAGATCAAAGAAAACATCCTGAAAAATATGGATCTAATTCACACACAAAACCAAAACTTCTTTCAAGCAAAAACATACGTAAACCAACCCTTGAGAGACTTTCCATGTATATATCAGATGAATCTCGCATGTAAATGCAAACCTAACTAACATTGCTTTAGAGTCTAAAACAAGTTGGTTCTTAAATTCTAAAAGTTCAATCATTAATACATAGATGAGTTTATAGACTACATTACAGATAAATCTTATGCATGTTTTACACATTGTTAACAATTCATATCTTTTATTCACATGAAATTATAAAATAGAGGGAGGGGGAGGGTAAAAGGCGACTATTATTAATTAAACAAAATACAACAATCGCAACTTTACGAAAAATTACAAAGTGATTGCTTATTAAATGAGAAAAATGTGGTTTCACACATGGCACAAAAATTAAAGAACGTTTACCTAGTGAAAATCGCCTTATAAGAGCAATGAGACTTTATCAAGAAACTTATATGCAACATTTGCTTGTGTACTACAAAGTAATACAATACATAAAGATGAGTGTTAACGACTTTATTACAATGTATATAGATGTGGTCGGTCAATTAAATGGTTATATTACAGATGTGGTGAGTATATCAAATGATTCTATTACAATAAATTACACGGTTATATCAGAGATGTGGTCATCAATGTGATCAAACCTCTAGATACCTTAATTCAACCAACAATTGTAGATTCTATCATCAATCACTAGCAACGTGGCTCATCAATAGACCAATAGACAACTCATATTAGGATATGAGGAAACACACAAGCAAATCCCAACTAAATCTAAAATAAAATAAAGGAAATATTTTTACTTACCGTGAACACGGTTTGGTATTCCAAGTATCATACTACAAATTGTTAAAAAAAATTATTCAAGTATCCAACTACTTGTATTATGACACTTGGTATAATGAGTCATCTTCCCGATACTCTGAAAAATCTCCCTCTCCACCTTTTTTCTAAAGATTGGATAAGATTAAATTTCAAGATATGTATGATAGACAGACACAAATCTTAAAATTTAAACGTAATAGTAATAAGTAAGATGACGTTAACGCCACTTCAAGGTGGTGAACAAAATGCATTCTAAAATAAAATAGGGAAATAACAGGTAGATATGGAATTTATACTATTATACGACGACAATATATTAAGAGAGCTAAAATATTTAGACACACTCTGAGGGGGTCCGAGCGTGAGCGTGACTGTCAAATCTACATATTCTCTCTTCTCTTCTCTCTCTCTAAAGATTTTCAGAATTCAGAGGTGTGGTGTTCTGTTCTCTTCTCCTCTCTTTCTGTTCTCCTGTTCCGGAGATTCGATTCAATCGCCGATCTTTTGCAGCGTTTTTTCGGATTCCGTCGTCGTCTTCCTCCTCCTCCATTCAATCTTTGTCTCTTCGCAGAATATAATGTTCCAGATTTTCAAGGTACGAATTTATTATAATTTAATTACGTATTTAGAAAAACAGGGTTGAATAAAAAAACGCAAGAAGATTTATTTTTTAGCTGGATTATATGTATTTTTTTGTATATTGAATTTATGGGTTTTGTTTAATTTTCTTCTGCTAACACATTGACCATGTCGGCTTCTTGTTCTTCCTCCAAAGTTCTGATCTTTATTGTGGATTTCTGGAGTTTTTGGTTCTTCCCAAATGGAAATTTGAGATATTTTCTTGGTGTGTAAATTTGGATTGTGAAGATATTTATATTTTTTTTATTACAGGCATTATTTTTTTCTTACTTTATTCAGTATTGTTTTCCACTTCAGGAGTTTTTGCAAATTTCATGTACCTCTGAATTCCCAATTAGTTCTGGTTTCTGCTATTTTTTCAATTTCTTGTAATAACCCAATTTAGATTTTTTTTTTTTTTTTTGGTTGTTAACTTAACCCAATTGGGGTATTTAATTTATTTAATTGTGATTTAAGAGATTTAATTTAGTTCTTGTACTTTTGTCTGGAAAGATCAAAGAATGCTGTTTGTATCTGCAGCAGTAGTACTCTCATGGCCTCATCTTCTTTGCATCATTGACTGACTTTTTATTTTTTATTTATTTATTTTAATTTTGGGGTGTTTGAGATTCTTCTTTGGGAACTCTGAGCTTTAGTTGTGTATTTTCTTAGTACATTATAAAAGGTTCCCTTTTGTGGAAACGGGATCTGCTTTTTCCCCCATCTTATCATAAATCACATAAAAACAATAATAAAAACAATAATAATAATTATAATCACAGCAAAACTCATGTCTGTTTTCTGATTCTCCCGTGGAAAAGAAGAACCCTTGGAGGTCATGATTTTTTCCACAGAAACTGTCTCGTGTACACTTATGTTCTGGCAGTGATTATCGCACTCTCTTTTTCTCTTCTGACACTTGTTAAAGCATAATCAAAGACAAAAACAAGGTTGATAAGTGTGGCAGCAGGAGAGAAAGGGAGTGCGGAAATCACTTTTTCGACTTTTTCTTTGGGTGTTTTGGTTAGTGCAAGCATGTTCAGATAGGAAGTTATGATTGTGGGTGTTTGTAAAAAAACTAAAAGATAAGAACTTTATCTTAAATTGGATTAAAGTATGCTTCTTTTCCGATTTTGCTTATTGGGGTTTCTTTTTTTTTTCGACCATCATCACAATCTTTTTCTTTTTCTGTTCTTGATGTTGCAGGACTGGTTCTGATCTGATCCGAATTTTTCTGAGTCCTCAGAAAATAAAAGAGTTTTAATTTAATCCAGTCAATGGAGGGTGACACATTCTCAGGGCTTGGCAATGGCAGCACACAAATTGATGGAAAAGTTCTGCAGACGTTTCAGAAGAGCTTTGTGCAAGTGCAGAATATCTTGGACCAAAACAGGCTGCTGATAAATGAGATTAATCACAACCATGAATCCAAAATCCCTGACAATTTAAGCAGAAATGTGGGTCTGATCAGGGAGCTCAACAACAACATCAGGAGAGTGGTTGATCTTTATGCTGATCTCTCAAGCTCCTTCACCAAATCCATGGATACTTCTTCTGAGGGAGGAGATTCCAGCGGGGCTTTGAAGTCTGATGGAAAAGCTGGGCACAAGAGAATTAGGCCTGCTTAGAGAGAGAAAGTTTGAGAGAGAGAGAGAGAGAGAGAGAGAGAGAGATTATAATGTCTTCCTAATTCTTTTGCATGTTGAGATGGTAGAAAGAAAAAAAGGAGAAAAATTGATCAGATTCTGTAAACTCCGCTGTATCTGTTAGATAATAATTCCCCAGAATCGCTTTTCACTGTAAGTCTGTAACTGTGGATCTAATTGAAGAGATAAAAAGAAGTTACGCTGTGTTTGTGTAATTCCATATCTTCTTAATTGGTAATAAAAGCTTATATTTGCTCTTTTGTTTATCTGTGTTCCTCTTTCTCTCTCTCTCTCTCTCTTAATTGGAGCAATATTCTAATTAATCAAATACAAATCACCGAGAGGAAAATCCAAACTTGGGTGCAGATGGAGAAGCACATTGTCAGAGTCAAACCATATAATTCCTCAGGGAATTTAAAGAGTGCTGATATATTCCGTAAGAGCTGTGCAGCTTTTATTTAACTTTTGCCGTTGTCAAAAAGGACTATCTATCTATGAATCTCCTTTTTGATCAAGGGTTCAAGATTAACTTTTGATGCAAATTCTTCCACAGAAACAAAAACCCTTTATTCCCCTTTTTCTCAAAGTTTTCTTCTTGATTTTAACTAAGAACTGGAGAGAGAGAGAGAGAGAGAGAGAGAGAGAGAGAGAGAGTTTTCTCAGTAATCTGCTTCCCATGAAGCCAAAACAGCTTTTTCCCACACTTCTTTATGCTGTTTTTATGGATTTTGTTATTGTTTTCAGCTGTGGACTCTGGAGAACTTGTGTTTGGGTACATATTTTTACAGGCATATGATACATACATCTGTAGCGTGAAGATGCTCTGAAATAATTGGAAGGAAAAGCAGCTTTTAGATTAATCTTTTTGGTTCCCAATCACACACCACCACAGGAACAGAATCTCAGATAAGAGATGATGAGCTTTTTTGACCAGTTTTTCCATTTTTTTTATTTATTAATTTTATTATATTTGCTGTAACCAATGACAGTCCTTTTGATTGTACTGATAGAGAAAATAATGTATTCCATAGGTAGTTTAAAACAAAGCACTATATTTCCAAGAGACAGACAGATATGTATAAACAGTGACCCCCAACAACATGACAGGGGCCCCAAAGCTTCCCCTCTCTCTCTCTCTCTCTCTCTCTCACTCTCTCTGGTAGATTGAACTCAACTTCCCCATGCCAACGCTTTTGGAAAGGATTCTGTTTTTTCTTTTTTTTTCTCTTTTTTTTCCTTTTTTTTTTGTTTAAACGTTCAAAATTTTATCTTTATAAAAAAAGAGAAAAAAAAACAATAGAAAAAAAAGAGAAGGAAAAAAAACTATGAGAGGACGGGAGGGGAAAGAATCCCCATCCTATGCTTATTCCCTCCACTCTCATAGATATTTTATGCACCTAGGATGTCACGTTATTGATATTTCGAAGTAACTATGCACTGATGTACGGAAATAAATAAAATAAAGATAAGTGGTAGCGTGTGATTGATTTTAAATAACGCTAGCATGTCATCAATATACATTTAAGTGATTCTCCCACTAAAGGAACTTTTTGTATTGAAATTGAGTGTATAATCCCAATAATCTCTCTTATTATCTGCTCATATCACATGCTGAGAGAGACGCTGATGAGACTATATACATCCGGTTATATTTACGAATCTTTCCTATAATTTACTTATTGCCTTTAAGCAATAAATATCCTTTATGGCTATTCTCAAGTTGATGATTCCTTGGCATCTATTTCACTTTCTCTGATTGAGTACATGTCTCTGTTGATGGACCCATTTATTTTGCAACCTAATTTCCTGATCTTTGGAGCGGGGGCCCACATGTGTGATTGCTGCAAATGGTTTTTGGATTTTTGAATATTCAATGGAGGGGTGAGATCAACTGAAAAATAAATTGAAGTTATGTAAACGCTCACCTGAGTGGGTAGATTATGTCGAATATATCGTATCGGTATAATGATATTAAATTGACACACTTCGATCCGGATATCGAACGTGGACACCGGACATTCGAAGTGTTCCGGTCAATAATTGTAGAATGAAGAATTCATAAAGGGTAAGTGATGTGGAAAAAGTGTAAATAAATTAAAATGAGACAAAATAAAAGGTGTCAGTGGACAAAAAAATAAAGATTTTTAAAAATCAGTTATGTTTCGAACATACCAACTCCTCAATGTAAAAACTCGTATAATAATCATACGTTCGCTTTGAATCCGTAGTAGATGTTAGCTTCTCCCTAGATTGCACTAGGCAACTATGACCTCGTATGTGAGCGTTAAGCGCCAAAACACGGTATGTCTGCTTAGTTGTGCATATTCCACGGGAAGATTCATCTAAATATTGCATAAGATCACACTAATCCTTGTAACCAAAACACGGTATGTCTCATGCGGCCATGCCTAATTAGATTTTATAGAATAAACATGAACAATGAGAACAACAGCTAATCAACAACATTAAATATAGAATGATCACATGTGCTAATTATAATTAGTTAATCTTGATCACACCGTCAAATCGCGCCTAATACGAGCTGGCCAACAATGCAAATAAAAAAGTGCTTTTGCTTAGTAATCCACTTGATGAAGTTTAATATATAAACTAACAATTAACCTGCTAAACCATGGTTGTACAATTAATTAACGATTATGGAATGCTTTGTTATAAACATGATCGTACAATTAATTAACAAATATGGAATTCTTTGTTTATTGTGAAAAATTAAGGTAATCACAAAGGGGTTAGAAAACTAGAAGATAGAAAAAGAGGGTGGGGAAAAACTAAGACAAGAAGAAAACATCCAAATTTGAGACAATCACTCGGAAAAACTAAGATAAAAGTTTTGAAAACCTTAGGCTAAGAGAGCTAGAAGATTGAGGAAGAGGATGAAGAAAAATGACAAGAAGAAAACATCCAAATCTGAGACAATTGCTAAAAAATAAGAAGCTCAGAAAATTGAGAATAAAAAAAAACACTCAGAAAAGAGAGGGGTTGCCACCGACCTCAACCGAAATCAGGGTCGACAACAAGGAAGCTTGGTTTTTGTTTGGGCAAGAGAGCAGACAATGAGAAAAAAGGAAGAGTAAAAAACCCTAATGGGATTGTCATAAAAATTCAATCGGTTTCCATCTTCCTCCACCTCTTCCTTTCATCACTAGCACACCCACCCCATCTTCTTATTCTTCTCTGAAACCCAAGATTCTAAAAGGCACTAGACTAGTGGCAGGTAGAGGTCTACGCTTGGGCATCTAGGCGAGGGCCTACGCTTGGGCATCTAGGCGAGGGCCTAACGCTTGGGCGTCTAGGCAGGAGCCTAACACTTGGGCGTCTAGGCAGGAGCCTAACACTTAAACGTCTAGACGGGGGCCTATGAAATTTTTTATTTTAATTAAAGTTTTTACGTAACATATAAATAAATTTCTAATTATACTTTAAAAAAAATACATAATTGTATTGGGCCTTGGATTTTTCAATTTCGGCTTTTTCTTTGCCTCATATTGTTGCTCATGCTCACCCTCATCCTCATCCTTACCACATATGTGGACTCCGAGTCTACAATGGTCAACAGATATACCTAAGGTCAATTTTGACCCTTTCCTTGATCGATTGAGAATGATACACATTGAATCGGGTACGAAGCTCCAACCCCATCCTCTAAAGACTTTTTATCGAGGCTTGTTCTTTGCCTCTTCCTTGGTTGCTAATGGCGATGACGGCAGGTCCTCCGGTAGACGAGTAGTTCGGATTCTTAGGATTTGTTCGTATATTTTGGGCTTAAGTCCTTGTATTAGACCCTTTATTTTGTTGCTTGGCTGTCCACATCTTTAATTTGCGCTTAACTTTGCATGACCTACTTTATGTACTTTTGAGTATAATAATAAATCATCATTAAGAAAAATAAAAACTATAAAGATCAGATATAATTGGTCCCCTAATAAACCAGGCCAGACAAATTAAACATTGCTATAACATGTGCAATTCTGCAGTGGGAATCTACTTTTGTGCCCATTCCTTCTTTTGTGTTCCTTGCATTTCCAGCAAACTGCAGGTTGGAAAGGAGCCCATAATGTCTAGTTTTCCCCTTTTGACAAAGTTTTACAATTCTTTGATTAATCGACTCACAAAAAGTCACAATGAATCACAATTTAGTATCGAGCTCACTCTAAATGTGTACTCTCTTCGCATCTTGGCGAATTAAACATGACACTCGGGTATAGTTCCAATGCTGCGAAGAAATATTACATGTGTTTTAGTCGTTAGATTTATTTTATACGATTATTAGATCTTCTATTTTCATTTTCAACCATTCATTTTACGTAGCACTCAATGTTGAAACTAATCAAACTTACTATAAATTGTTAAATATATATCATCCTCGCACTCTAGTGATTCGAACATGAAACCTCATTCAACTGTGCGGAGTTTAAAGGTCGTTAGACCAATTGGTCATGTAATTTTACATATCCCTCTAAATCATTATTAGTTGAACTAAATTAGGTAATCAGACTATAATAATCGACTTCCCATACTTGAAAGGACCTATTTATGCCCTAATGACAATGCCAGTAATGATGATATTAGTCCCTTAAGTTCTCCACTTTGTTTCTTTTTCCCTAAGGAAAGAAGTTTGGTGGTGAGTAGACAGATTCATCGAGCCCCAAATAATTTGGATATGAACAAATATTATGTGCAGCAATATGAGAAAATATGAAAAACAATAATATGTAATAATTACAGAAGAAGAAGAAGAACATCATTTTGTATGTTTGTTATAATAAGCAAGAAATTATTGATTAGCGTTATATCAAATAACAAAGTAGTTTAACAATGCAAATATGTTATAACGACGAACTCATAAACAACATCAACAATAGAATAATTGAGTACAGAGTCGAAGAGAGTCGACAATCTCCAAGCTTGCACGAATGCAATGTCTTGAAGACATAAATTCGTCCTACTCTTGTGCTTGTAATTCGGTAGGCGTCCATCTCCCAATATTCAATAATCTGTATTTTATTATTTATAAGGTATCAGTGTCATTAATTATATAAATATATACCCTAAAACTTATGCAAAATACACACTTCTTCCACCATACAAATGAGGTATGTAGTGTGTTAAATTCTTTGAATCATGCCTAATCAATTTACCTATTGGACCATAGAATTTTCAATTAACTAAGTTAGGTTTCCATTCAGCTTATTCATTAGTTGTGTTGACTTTAACTCGTTCCCCTCGATAATCAACTTAC